AGTTGCTGTCGTTTTGTTCTTCAGTCTAGTTGTGGAGGACGTTGCTTCACTGGCCCAAGTTGGCACCATCATTGCGCTCTTCCCGGGCGAGGCAGATTAGTCGCCGGCTTCTAGACGGCCACTCACTGCGGCTGCTGGCCGCTCATGCTGGCTGCTGGCTACATACGGTAGCCCATGGCAATCCACTGCAGCAGGGGCTGCAGCCTACGCCGTCGTGGGCGACTCATGGCAGCCCAGCTCCAGGTTGAGATGTCGTTCAGCATCTTAGATGTGGAGGGCAGTGTCACTGGCCCTCATACGTGGGATCCGAACCGGGGCCCTCTGGCTTCCCAAGCCAGTTCTTAACCATCACGCCACTCGGCTGGCCCCAAACTTTTTTTATTAGAAAGAGTACATTCTAAAATAATGATAAAAAGTATAGTATTAGAAATACATAAACCATTAACGTAGTCTTCTATGTCATTATCAAGTATTATCTACTTGTATGAGCTATATTTTTACACGACTCACAGCACAGGTTTGTTTACACCAGCATCACCACAAACACGTGAGTAGTGTGTTGTATCTGTCATTGACCGAAGTGCCATTATGCATTGTATTACTATAATGAGGTACCTCTATCCTGCTCCCTAGGGTGGTATCAGTGGGGGCCTACTGGGAAACCTGGACTTCTACCCCCACTTGCAATAACAAGGTAGAAAATCCCCTCCTCTCTCTTGCTGGAGTCGTATTAAAAGAAGGCAGCTAAAACAGAAGGCTTCAATAAAAGCCAGAGGAGCAGAGTACTGCAGAGGAAGCAGCAGACCCATGAGTAAGACCAGAGTCTCATAATGTAATACCCAAAATATACCAAGTTTTAACTGAAAATTATTTGTCAACCAGGAAGATCTCAAACTGAATGAAAGAAGTCGAGCAATAGATACCGAGAGAGAGAAAGAGAGAGAGAGGGAGAGAAATGTCAAAATTATCTGACAAAGTTTTCAAGGAGCCATTGTAAAAATGCTTCAATGAACAATTAAGAATATGCTTTAAACAAATGAAAAAAATAAAGTTTCAGTAAAGAAATAGAAGACATAAAAAAATGAAATGTAAATTTTACAACTGAAAAATATACTAATCAAAATAAAAGCTCAATGAATAGGGTCAACAGTGGAATGGAGGGGAGAGAGGAAAGAACCAGTGAACTGGAAGATAGAAAATTAGAAATTGCTCAATATGAACAACACAGAGAAAAGAGACTGGGGGAAAAAAAAAGAGTCCCAGGAACCTGTGGGACTAAAATAAAATACCTAATATTCATATCACTGGAGTCTCAGGAAAGGAGAAAAGGGGCAGGGCTGAAAAAGAACTCAAAAAAATAACAGCTAAAAACTCCCCAAATTCGGCCAAAGACATAAGCCTAAAGATTCAAGAAGCTAAGTAAGCTCCAAACAAGACAAACCCAAAGAAATCCATGCCAAGACACAGCATAGTCAAATTTCTGAAAAGTAATCAGATTAGGTCTCAGTTAACTCCTAATTATCCTTCAACACTTTAAATTAGGCTCTCCTAATATCCTATCCCACTGTACACTGTACTCTTCATAAGACTCACTGCATTTACAATTACTTGCTCAATGTTCACCTTCCCCATTAAACTATAAATTCCATTAGGGCATGAATTCGGTCACTGTTACATCCACAGTAGTTAACAGAGTGCCTACCAAGTAAAAGTTGCTCAATTAATATTTGTTGAAGAATGAATGAATAAATGATTCTTCTTCAAAAAAGTCCCCTCTTAACTACCAATCTGTTTTGTCCTTTTCTCAAAACTGTCCTATCCCAGAGACTCACCTCTTGATCAGTTGTGATTGTTTCCAGATTGGTCTGCCCTTACCTTATTAGTTTGTAGAATTCTTGCATGAAATGCAGCTGGCCAGGCATGAAGTAACAGGTAAGCATAGGAGCGAATGGCATAAACTGGGGAATATTCCCAAGTCTGAAACCCTTTCCCATAGATGAGGTAGTGTGTCTGAAAGTACAAAACAGATGGATTCAGGGTTACATTGGCAAAAAATCCTTATTAAAAGAATGCAGATAAAGTTTCTAGGCAAAAATATTAATGAGATGAAGGTATACAAAAATGCTGAAACTCTCAATAAGATTTTCAACTAATGGATAAGAATCAAAATGACCCAATATTGAAAAATATTAGGACATTATAAATTAATTCTACAAGACTGTTGTTTTATCAACATTAAAATTTTGAATTTTATCTTCTACTTATTTTTTAAATTTTCATTAGCCAAAACAGAGAAACTCTAAATTTTATATTTTCCTTAAACCACCTACACTAAACATTCTTTATTTTTTTTTATGTGATCAGAAAATTTCACCTCTGAATTTTCTATAGTAGGAAGTGAACATACTTATAAATCTATAAATCAAGAAATAGAAGTATAATAGAAGTATTTAGTAATATTAGTTTAGTAAATAAACATCAGAAGAAATAACAAAAAAAGTTTAAAGAAAGTGGTTGCCTCTGGGGACTGGAACTTTAACATAAGATGTGAAACTGGGAGCTACTGTTTTTCCTTAAAGTTTTGTAGTAGTGGTTAACTTTAAAAACTATCTCAAAGTATTATTTTGATTAAAAAAATGTTTTAAGGAAATTACAAATTACATCTTTTCGTAAAACGGCCAAATTCCCTTAGAATACAAAAGTGAAAATAAAGTTATTTTGCTAATGGTCACACTTGTATATAGTATTTGTATTTTGATTGGTAACAAGGTCCCAAGCAGTGAAATCAAGAACAACAGCAAAACAAAGAAAGAAAGAAATCACCTACTGGTTCCCAGTAGTTGAATGTTTCATCACAGTCAGAGATGTTGCTCAGGAGAGCAGCACATAACCTTGCTGACAGCAGACACTTGAAAGCAGTAGATCCTTCAGGTGCCCAGACTTGTCCTGCTTTGTTCCCAGAGAGCCTGCTCAGAAGCAAAAAAAGTATGTCAGGAAGGACCCGCTAACTAGAACGACTAAAACTAAACAGAAAGGAACAGAATGGTAAGGGACATAGACGCACTTAAGTATTCACCTATAAAGGTGAGTCATTAATTGTTCTTAGATCAACTTTAATCATCCCTTCCACTTCCGTGTTTTTCACGTGTAAATTAATTCATACACTTTAATTCATTGCATCTATGATGCTCCATTTATCCCATGCCAACTAATCACTCATTTGAAGACCACAAAGCTCTCATTCTCTCTTTCTTCTCTTAACAAGGTCATTAGTTTCCATGGTTTTATTCATTTCCCCATCTGTTCCAACGTATAGAGGCCTAATATGGGCAAGGTTCGTAACCTCTTCCAATTCCATACGTTGACAGCTGCTTTAATGGAGTCCTAACCTTCCCAGGCTTGGGGAGAGAAGTGATTGCTGCTGCTGGAGATTGTGGGGTCCATAAATTAGAGTAAAGGATTGGGACTTTGGGGAGAATGAAGGAAGCGGTGAGAGACAGCCGGAAAAAGGTAAACCCTGTGGTCCTGTCAATTTCTCCCAGAGGCTCTGCCAACTCAAACACCAGGACGCCGGCCCATTCTGGGCCTGGGCCAGGAGCTTCACAGATCCGCACCCCAGGGTTTCTTTACAGGAAACACAGGACCCGGGGCGGGGGATCTAAGACCGGGTGAAGAACGAACGTTGACCCGTCCAGGAAGAGCAGTAGGACGTGGCAGCCGAGGCAGCCAGGCCCTCCGGGGGAGAAGGCCGGCCCCAGCGAAGCCCTGCGCGGCGCCGGCGCGACCCTCCCCGGGGCAGCCTCACGCAGCGCCGCCAGCCCGGCCACGCCCCCACCGCGACCGCACACCTACTCGGTGCGGGGCTCCGCGCCGCCCGCCTCCCGGCTGCACAGCAGCTCCCGCAGCTTGTCCGCTTCTACCGCAGAGGCCGTGTCCCCGCCGCTGCCTCCGCTGCCCTTCAGGCGCTGCCGAGCCCCTCGGCTCGCCATGGCCAGCCTGGGTAAAAAAGGTAAGAATTCGGCACCCTACGAAGGCGGCGAGCGCGGAGACATAGCTTTGGCTGGCAAACGGTGTCCGCCGAGGGACAAAAGACCTTGACATGCGCAGAAAAGACGAAATTACAGCGTTATGGGGCCAATTGGGGCAAATGCCTGAGTAGAAAAAAAATCGGACCTGAGACTTTACTTTTATCGTCATAGCTACCCCTTCCACATACTTGTAATGCTGGGCATTCCTCCCTCCAACTCTCTCTTGCTTCACTTTTCAGCATTCTCCACTCCTACAAAAAACCGTCCTTCAGCTCCTCTAGCTAAAAGAAAGCACAAAGTAATTAAGCAACTCTGCAAGGTGAGTACCCGGAGATATTCAGTTAAAAATCATAGCACAGCTGCCTATCAAAGGGTAAGTCCTTAAAAGGTCACTGACAAGTTGCCCTCTCTGTATTTTGGTAAGAGTAGTAGGGACAGCCTGTAATTAACTGCTTCAGAGACACAGCCCTAATGGCAGAATATAGAATGAGAAGTGAAACACTGAAAAAATTCTGTGCAGCAAATTCAACCAGACACCAGTGACTGCCATTGCTACTACAGCATAATGGTAAGCATTTTACAGATTTTATCCTTTTAAAATGTTATACTCATAACAACCTTGTTTTATCAAGAAGGAAACTGAGGCCCAAGGTTGCATAGTTAGGAAATGGTGGAGCCATATACTAACCCAGGTCCAACCCAACCCAGGAACCGTATTCCAAACCGGAACTTACTACAAAGCCCATGCTCTTCCAACCAGGAGATCAGGAGAAAGCTCTTGATTTCATACAGGCATTTTAACAAGTATACAGGCATCTTGATGATACCATGCCTGTGACGCTCAGGGTTCATTCACCTGTTCCTGACACTGTGCCCACTCCCCCAACCACAGAGCTCTTCCTACCCCGTGGTGCTCTGTACCAGTAACTAAAACGAGTTTATAGAGAGAATGCTAAACTTGACAGGGTCTCAGGTTGATTTCATACTAAAAATTTCCAAGTATTGAAAATGGTGATTGATCATATTGCTCAATTCCCATATGCAATTTTATTAGTTACCAAGTTCGGACATCCCAGCCTACCTATATCTCATACATCCATTTCCTTTTTATTTCACTCTAACACCAGCCCCTCTCTGCCTCTTCCTAGGACTACAATAGCATCTTTACAGGGATCTCCTATCTCAAATTGATCCTGTGCAACACTGTCCAGTTAATTCTCAAAAGCACTACTCTTGTGTCACTTCCTTAATCAAAACACATTTTTGGGCCAGCCAAGTGGCTCAGTTGGTTAAGAGCTCGCTCAAGAGTGTGAGCTCTGAGCAACAGCAGTTCGATTCCCGGCCCAAGCTGAGCAGCCGCTGAGCTGCCAACAGGTGGCAGGATGGCTCAGCTAAAAAAATGAAATAAAATTTTAAAAAATCAATAAATAAAAACTCACATTTTTTCCTATTGTTGCCAAATAAAGTACAAACTCCTTATTTTAGCATTCAGCCTTTCATGAACTAACTCCAGCCCCAGCCAACCTGCTTTCCTTTTTTTTTTTAAGTAGCAGAAAAGGAGTTTATTAGAAGAAAAAATACATTTCACAGAAACAGAAGTGCGCCCAAAACTAGAGAATGGCTCATGGGTCATAATTAGAAGAGAAAGTATACTCCAAAGAGTTTGGAGCGGGCGGAGCGAAGGAAGCTCAAAAGACCCCAACCTGCTTTTCTAATCTTATCTCCCACTACCTTCCTATATACATTTTACATTCCAACTAACTAGCAAGAAAAGTGCCCCAAATGCACCCTTATCTATTCCTCTGCTCATATGCCCTCTGCTTGGAATGCACACCCTCTCTTGCCTAACAATCCCCCCCGACATCCCTGTGCCTTTAAGATCCAGCTCAAATGTAATCATTTCATCAATGTACAAGGCACTATTGGAGATAGAAGAAAGCTATAAATCACATTACATGCCCTTAATTAGCTTATATTCTATGTAGAGAGCTAATACATGTGTCCTAAGAGATCCCTTGATTCTTTTTTTTTTTTAAAGATTTTATTGGGGAATTGGGGGAGGGAACAGCATTGGGGAATCAGGGAAGGGGAACAGACAAGTTGCTGTCCTTTTGTTCTTCGTCTAGTTGTGGAGGACATCGCTTCACTGCCCCATGTTGGTATTGTGATCATTGCGCTCTTCCCAGCTGAGGCAGATCAGTTGCCGACCGGCTGCTCACGGCAGTTCACAGCAGCTCACGCTGGCTGCTGGCCCCTCACGGTAGCTTGCAGCCCACTGCAGCCTATGCCATCATTGCTGGAGACTCACGGCAGCCCAGCTCCAGGTTGAGCTGTTGTTCACCATCTTAGCTGTAGAGGGCACAGCGTCACTGGCCCTTATGTGGGATCCAAACTGGTGGCCTTGCTGCTCAGAGCTCGCGTTCCCAAGCCAACTCTTAACCAACGAGCCACTCAGCTGGCCCAATCCCTTGATTCTTCACTCCAAAACTTACTCCTATGTTTTCCTATTTGTTAATGACACTATTCTTCCAGGTGCTCAGGTAAAAAAAACCTAGGAGTCCTTCTTGATTCCTCTACTTCTCTGACTTCACACCTTCCACCCATGCACATACATTTAATTCATCAGCAAGTCCTTCTAAATATTACCCAATCTAACAACTTCTTACACCCTGGCCCAAGCCACCATTATCTCTTGTTTGCAATATCATAATAACCTTCTAATTTGTTTCTTTGTTTCTATTCTTGCCTTCCCATATGCTTTTCTCCAAATACAAGAATAAATGAGGGCCGGCCGAGTGGCGTGAGGGTTAAGAACTGGCTTGGGATACCAGAGGGCCCCGGTTCGGATCCCACATGTGAGGGCCAGTGACACTGCCCTCCACAAAAAACAAACAAACAAACAAGATGAAGAATAAATGAGACAGTTATTTACTTCACAAAGTTTACAATACAATTTCAATCGGAGCCTAACTATTAACAGGAATGTACATTAATCCACATTAGAGTACCCCATTCTTCAAAGTCCTGAGCTGAGCCAAGCTCACAGTGTCCCTTAGAGATGCTTACAACAGAAAGCCCCAAAATCTAGGCAGGCAAGCTTTAGAGTGAATAACATTTGAGAGATTACTGTTGAAGAAGTCTAGAGAAGGAGTACAGAAACAAAGTGACAGAAAGAACATGGGCTCTACGTAGAGTCAGAAAGAGCCAAGTATGAACTCTAAATCTGACACTTATTAGTTCCATGACTTTAACAGTAGTCAACCACAGAATAAAAATAATGATGATACCAATACTAATTATTGATCACTTGCATCTTACCCAAGCTAATAAATGTTGGTCTGTCTGACTCTAAAAACTACTCTCATAAATTCATTTAGTGAGATGATACTATAGAGTTAAGGGAAGAGAAAATGACAGTGTGGAAAATGTATTTTAATATATATTTGATGAGCACTCAAGTTCTACTGCCTCTTTAGCAATAGAGCATCTAAAGTACAAGATGATGTTTTACTTTTTTATTTTCCTAGTCATTACTCAGGATCAAAATACTGCACAACTCCAAAGGTCACTAATCACATTATAGTCTATAAGGTTAAGTGACCGAGTCACAGGTATCTTTACAGTCAACCAACAGTGGCTATAGACACAAGGTAGAATATTTTCCAAAAAACCTCCCAGAAAGGACTCCCAGTTACAAATTGGTCTTTTTCATCCCACACCCATGAGGATCAAACTGTAGAAATGAATTCACTAAACTATCGAGGTGTCAGGTGTAGTCGTTGTTGAATCTCTTTCCTAAATTGGGACTGCATTGATATTACCTGCTGCTGGGTAAGGGCCTTGTCACAGGTCTGGTAGGTCAATCTATAGCAGAGGCTGACCTGTTCAGTCTTGGGATGCTGAAAACGACTAAGGAATTGTATGGATATGACAGTGTCCTGCGACACTGATCGGGCCACAGTGTGAAACTCTAGTTCATCAAATCCTTTCTTCTCATCTAACCAAAAACTAATATCATGCACAAAGCATGGAGGATATAGGGAATAGCTTTTAAAGGGTTCTATTTTCCCAGAGACAAAACTCTTCAGGAAACGTTTATCAAAGGTCCACAACATCCTCCAGTCAGAGATACCCCAGATAAGCATGGCTAAGAGGTCCAAGTTCATAGACACAAACACAAAACACTGGTCTTTGTGTATAATGCTTGTAGCAGATGTGGTGACAGACCCAATAATCAGATCCTTGGCAAAATCTGGGCCAAAATTATGAGACTTCACATTAATCATATAATCTTTCCCATTTGGTTGAAAGACAAATTCTACTGAACTACTCAGTTTAGAGCCCTCCACAGCTGTCTGGGTCAGAAAGCTATCTAGAATGCCCTTCAGATGATCCAGTAGTGACTGAAGACAGCCATCCTTCAGATTTTGATTAAATCCAAGGATAAATAAAGTCTCATGAAATGCTGGCATTGTAAAAGGCAAGATGAGGCACTTCCGAAAGACTGGTCCACTGAGGATGTGCAGAGAACCTGGGAGGAAGTCTGGTGCTTGAATGATAGCCTGAACATGAACTAGGAGAGAAGGTCTAAGGCAGGCCTTGGCTTGGCCATAGATTCCGTCATGAGCTTCTTCCTTACCATCTCTTCCAGGGCTCTTGGGAAGGCTAAGTTCTGAAAATGACACTATGAAGTCCTCCATGTCTTGTGTTGTGCCACCAGTTAGGGGCTCATAATTTGTATTATCCTTAAGGAGATTAATCCAAAAGACTGCTGATAGGTCACAGTTCCAGGAAGTGGGAACACTGGTGCCTCCCTGTGGCAGCAAAGGGAAGGAACACTTCAGTCTTTTTAGAGGGAAAGCTTTGCCCAATTCAGCAATCAGTTTCTCATTTATGGTTTTGATAGGATGACATGAAGATGCTTCTAAGAAACCCCTGTTTGAACACAAAATAACATTTTTAACTTAATAAGTAATTATAATTTAGCTAGAATACAAAGTACAAATAGCTGAATAAAAAAGAATTATCCTTAAGTTGATCCTGAAAGGAGACAAAGAAATCATCCACCAAAAACAGAGAAATCATGTGTTTCAGAATTCTGACAGCCACATCCCTACAATATACCAGAAAATATGACAGTTTTTAATTCTAAAGAGGGTTATGTAAGCCAGACTGACAAGTATTCACAGTACCAACATCATAAACCGTATATGTAGCATTCATTCAATATATGGTTGCCATCAAGCCAATAAGGATACAGCTAGAGATAGAAGTGATTTCTGGTAAAATAACAGTTACCTGTTCAACTTTCCTGCAAGTGCTCCTGGTTCTGGAAAGGAAAACCACTGGCCATCCAGTTTGATCTTAAAGACTCTTGGTTGCAAACCTTCAAAGGGTAAGCTCCGGGTGAAGATATGGTTCACAGCACCTTCTACATGAAAGGACTTATTTTGACTCCTGGCAAAATAAACACCAAGTATGAAGTCTGTCATTAAAAAAGCAAGTGTTGGGCGGCCGAGTGGCATGATGGTTAAGAGCTGGCTTGGGACACCAGAGGGCCTGGTTCGGATCCCACATATGAGGGCCAGTGACAATGCCCTCTACAGCTAAGATGCTGAACAACAGCTCAACCTGGAGCTGGGCTGCCAGGAGTTGCCGGCAACGGCGTAGGCTGCAGCCCCTGGTGCAGTGGGTTGCCATGGGCTACCGTGTGTGGCCGGCAGCCAGCGTGAGCGGCCAGCAGCCATCCAGAAGCCGGCGACTGATCTGCCTCGCCCAGGAAGAGCGCGATGGTGCCAACTTCGGCCAGTGAAGCAACATCCTCCACAACTAGACTGAAGAACAAAACGACAGCAACTTGTCTGTTCCCCTTCCCCCAGTTCCCCAGCGCTGTTCCCATCCCCCAAACCCCCAATAAAAATCTTTAAAAATAAAAAGCAAGTGTTTCTAGAAACTGAATCAGGAAATTGGCAAGGAAAAAGTTTGCCTATGAAATATTTTTATCATCAGTGAGAGAGATAAAAAGGCTTAGACCTGTATTATTACTTACCTATATCCAGTGCACTTGTACCCTGGCATAGTCTCACAGCTGAAGGGATGCACATCACTTAAAATGAATCGTCCCAGAGCTGCCATGGCAACCACTTGCCAACTGTTGTGCCATTCTCTTATGGGATTATCAGCAGGAGTCCCGCCTTGTCCTCTACACAATGCCACATGGACTTCTCCTTCCTCTGCAAGAACATCTGCACAGCTAATGGGAGGAGGGGGACACCAGCCGTTTATCAGAAACAAGTAGAAATTACCACAGGAGTTAGCTGTATATACATGGTTTGGCTGTGAAATAATTAAAATCCATCATACCCATTTGCAAAGGTCTATTAGACTTCAAACATGCAAAGAAAGTAGCTGGAAGTAAATAAGAATGTAAATTCAATGTTCAATTTATAACTGATACTAGTGGCTGACAAGGTACCCAACTTGGTATTTGCATTGTTCATCTATATCAATGCCTGCAAAGTTCCTATTCATGATTCACTGATCAAGCTGTTCTTCCCCTTGGAGAAAGTTGTTCTTTTCACTCCCCTCGTGCCTATTAAAATTTTGTACTAAAAATTCTAACTTAAAATACTGCCTCTGTAAAAAGTTTGTTGACAACTAAGATCCAAAGAGACCTGCAGTTGTATCATGTTTTCGTATAATAGTGTTAAGCACTGTTTTAAGTTCACAATTATTTTATGAGGTAGTTAATTGTTAGTATCCTCAGTTTATAGATGAGGAAGAAGAAAAGGATTAATACCTAAAATCACACAGCTATTAAGTGGTAGGTGTGGATCTGAATTCAGGCAATTTGCCTCCTGAATCCATACCTTAGATATTAGACAAAACTGGCTACCATTATTTTGCATTATCAAAAATAGGTGGCCCTCTATCCAGAAAAACCCAAGAACATTAATTCGAAAAAATATATGCACCCCTATGTTCACTGCGGCGCCATTCACAATAGCTAAGACTTGGAAACAACTGAAATGCCCAGCAGTAGACGACTGGATTAAGAAACTATGGTGCATTTACACAATGGAGTATTACTCAGCTATAAAGAAGAATGAAATAGTACCATTTGCAATGATATGGATGGAACTAGAGAACATTATGCTAAGTGAAATAAGTCAGAGAAAGACAAATACCATATGATCTCACTTATATGTGGAATCTAAAAAACTGAATAAATGAGAAATGTAAACAGAAATAATCTCAGAGACACAGAGGAAAAACTGAGGGTTACTAGCTGGGAGGGGGTGGGGATGAAGGAGAAGGGCAAGGGACGAGACAGTACAAATTGGTAATTGCAATATGGCCTCAGGGATAGAAAAGACAGACTGGAGAATATAATCAATAATGTTATAAATATTTCTTAGGGGGCCAGATGGTCTCATGTCTTGTTAGGGAGACCACTTCATAGTTGGTGTAGAGGCCTGACCACCGCACTGTATATCTGAAGCTGATGTTGAATAATATTGTATGTCAATTACAACTATATATACATATAGTCACGGGATGTGGAATAGAGGGTGGGAATGGAGTCAATGTAATTGTAATAGATAAGTATGATATCAGGCGTGGGAGGGCAGTAGATGGGGGGTGGGGGTTGTTAACTTTGTGAGGGGTGTAAAGGATAACTATTGCATGGTTCTGTACACCTGAAACTAATAAAAATAATAAAATTTAAAAATAGGTGGTCCTCCTTTTACACGTCTGCCTTTCCAACTAGATTGTGGGTTATCTGGAGCTTCACATTCTCTCTAAACCTATCGTAGTAACTTACACACCTATGCCTAATTTCCCGCACTATGATGTTTGAGTGCAGTAACTATGTAATGTACACGTTAAACATTCTGTGAGTGCTCTCCTTTCCTCACCTCTGGAAAAACTTGGCAAGCAGTTCCCTGTTCCTAGCTACTCCAGCTTTGCGTCCACAGTGCGGAAAGTTAAAATAAATTCGATCAAACTGCCTGTCGTGCAGTTCAAAGGCATCCGCCAGCTGGGTGCAGTCCACACCAAAACGTATCTTGGTACCTGGCACGAAATATACACAGGAGGATGTCTTAAGACCTGTAACCAGAGAAAACCCTACCCTAACCTGAACCGTACAAACAACCCAGGTCTAGGCACATAGCGGGGCTTTCGGTAAACGTCTGAAAGACGTCCAAGAGCAATCCCCACGTGGCTTGATTCCCCAAGTGCCCACCCTTTTCTCTTCGGGCCACGCGGGAAGCTGGGCGGGGCTTCGCGGGAGCGCGCGGCCTCAGTACCTCGCTCGTGTAGGCGCTGCAGGTTCTCCCGAGCCACCGGGTCCGGGGCTACGTCGGCCGGGCGCTGGAGGCAGGTGGCGGTTAGACTAGTGCTGGGATCCAGGGTCTCGCTCAGAGCGGCGGCGAAGGAGAAATTCCCCTCCCCAACCAACAGGAGGCGCCGAGGGGCCATAACCTCAACTTGCTCCCCGCTCGCGTCCTCGGAGGCGCTCATTTATTACGTCACTTCTTTCGCGGGCCTCTGGCGGGCCCCTCTTCATCCGTCGCTAGTTAATGACGCACCCACAACACCTGGTTGCCTTGACAAACGAGTACTGCGATATCCTGGGAGGACAGCGAGCATGAGTGCAAAAGCGAGATGCGGGCGAAGCGGTTCCCTCAGACCTCCACTCTCTCGGGAATGTCAAAATAAATGCCTTTTAGCTCGAGGACGGCCCTGAGCGACTTCGTGACACCTGCATGAGGGTCACAAGTGAGGCGAGTCCTAAGTGAAGGAGGCGGGGCAGGGCTGAGGCCAAGCAGAGGTTAGGCTGCGTTCTTCATGTTCCTGTCACAGAGGATTTTATAACAGTCTTCATCTCATCCGAAATGGCTGCTGCCCACTGTCTCAGCAGCTCGGAGTTTCTCCAGGTGCCTCTATCTTCTGCCTTTTATTTATTCATAAAATAGTGAGTTCTTGTTATGTGCCACTGTGAGGGTGGTTAGATAGGTATACGGATAAGCAAGATGTGGTCTGTGATTTAACTGAGCTTGCAGCCTGGTGATGGATACACAACAAAAGAGGCAATTCTGATATAGTAGGATGTCCGGCTATGAGTGGAGTAATTGAAAAGATTTTAAATAGGAAGATGACACAGATTTTCATTTTCTAAAGTCCTGCTCTCTTCTGGAGAAGGGTTGGAGAAGAACAAGGCTGATGGCAAGATCAGATAGGAGGCAACTGCAGTAATAGAAACCAGGGCTGATAGTGATCTGAATTGGATCTTGGCAGTAGAGATGGAGAGTAGTGGACTGATTCAGAAATCAACAAGACCTAGTGATTTGGATGGATGTAAGGGATTAAAAGAAATCAGAGTCAAAGATAAGCCCCAGGTTCCAGGAGTGGACAACTGAGTGGATAGTGATGTCTGTCCTTACAGCCCCAGGACAGTGTCACCTTGGTCTGCAGTCTGAGCACTAGGCCTGTTGGACTTTCCAGGACCAGCTACTCTTTAGTCATCATGCTGTTTGTTGACATCACTACATGCACCTAGCTTCAAAAAGGCACATGATGTGAGGACAGTTACCTTTAAACTTACAGTATTGACTTTGTCCCCACCTGTGCAAAGGTGGGTGGGTGGTGACTCCCAAATCATGGCCATCTGTTCATGGCGATCTGGGTGATCTACATTATTTCTTTGCTTGGAGAACTGGGAGGGCCAGGTTTGCTGACATCTCTTCATTTAAAGAACATGGACGAGAAGAGTAAGGTTTTCTGTCACTCTCCTATAGAATCTTCAACCAACAGAAGCTACTCAGCATCAAATTACTCTTCTTCAGAGAAGGTATTGTCTTGCTTCTAAGCCAAGGGACCAGACTTATTTTTTGCCCCAAAAATAAAAATGGTTCGGTTCTTCATTTCTGTCAAAATAATTGAAATTCAGGCATTGGTCATCTAGTATGTGCAAAGCACTGTTGATTGGGAGGGCAGGCAGAAGAAGAGGGTGTGATAATGAATAAGACACAGATCCTGTCCACAAGGGATGTACAATTCAGAATAGGGGTTCAACGCACATTTCAAGAACTTTTAACACATGGTAGAAAGTTATAAATATAGAAAGAGATGAACATAAGTTCTGTGTGAGACAAATGAGAAGTTAACAAGAGAAAGCATATGGAATAAGTGGCATTTGAACTGGGCCTAGAAGGAAGGAAACGATTTAGTGATCATTTATTGTGTTTTCTAGTTTTCCAACTCTCACTTCTCCCTGTTCTCTTTGACTATAACAATACTCTTAATCCTTAAATTCCCGCATCTCAAAATTACCTGAACTTTTAGCTAGTTCTCCATATAGTATTGGGGGCACTAAAGTTTCCTGCCTTTTTTAGGGGGAGCATTTGATCTATATAGTAATCCACTACTGCTGATTGAGAGGATAGATCAAAGGACTCGTGAACCTGGAGAAAAAGAAACAGAACTACAACAATTAAATTGGCAGGAAAGCCTAGATCCTCAGTAAGATGTGCTTATATTATGCCTGACCAAGAGTGAGAAAGGGATGCCTCGTCTGCTTTCTGGTTTGTGCAACAAGCTTTTCTATTTTCACCTTTTCCCAGAGACAGTTCCTCACCTGTTTCCTTACAAACCCACACTATGGCAGCCTCATTAATGCAGATGGCCACGCTGAAGTGTGGACAGATTGGAATGATATGTCCAAGTTTTTCCAGTATGGTTGGAGATGCACCACTAATGAGAATGCCTATTCGAACCGTACCCTTATGGGCAACTGGAACCAGGAAAGATATGACCTAAGGAATATCGTGCAGCCCAAACCCTTGCCTTCCCAGGTAATCTCTTTGTTTCCTTCTGTTAGCAAAAGAAATGCCAGTGGCTATTTGAGAGGCAGGAATCTCATAACTGCCAATGCTGAGATCTCTCAGGCTTCTGTTCAGTGAAGTGGTTGGGGGAGGGCAGCAGTCCTTAGCTGGAATACCTATCCTACTTTACTTTCAAGTTGGATATTAATTATTGTGAGGTAATAAAAGGATGGGTAGTAATCTTTCTCTTGCTTCTGTTTAAACTTTATTCATCTACAGAAACATAACGTCTTCCGACTCAGGCTAGCTTTTCCCCTGGTCCTTGCCTACCTAGATTTGTCATTTATCTGTGTCTTGCCCTTATATCACTCCTAAACACATGTACAAAGGTTATGGATTAGTAGAACATAGAGTAATGACATATAGAACTCTAGTCAATCTAAAATATGACAGAGCTTGATAGAATTCATGTCACTGTGATTTTTATTTCCCAGTATTGGGTATAGACTCCTATATTTTTAATCTATTACTTTTTCTTTCCAGTTTGGACACTACTTTGAAACAACATATGATACGAGCTACAACAACAAAATGCCGCTTTCAACCCATAGTAGGTGGACAGTTGTTTTTTTAATTTTTGGGCTCTCAGGACCCAACTTAGGCCTAGAATATAGAAAGAACTCAAATAAAAATAAACTGAATGAGTGAATAAGGGAATGAATGAGTGGATGATTTCTCTGTTTTCTCAGTTTTGACTGGACTCATTCTCTATTCCCTCAGCAATAACAGTGAGATTGGTTACTAAGACTCCTTGCTACTGACTAATTCCACTTGTCTTTGCTTCTCTTTTCTCCTCCCTCAGGATTTAAGCGAGAGCCTCACTGGTTCCCAGGACATCAACCTGAGCTAGATCCTCCTCGGTACAAATGCACAGGAAAGTCAACTTATATGAGCAGCTATTCAAAACCTCAAGTTGGACATCACTGTGTGTGTGTGTGTAATCATAATAACTGCCAATTTCAGGGTCCAGAATTCTAAGAATAAGAAGCTTCATTTTTCTCGAGTAGAATGTAGGAGGGAGCAAATTCTAAGCACAACTAAGAATTTAGCAGACTGTTTCACTCTCTGAATAAATAAAGCACAGAAAACTTTCTCTACCCCCTCACCCCCGTTTTTTGGTTTTAACCAAGATTTACATGTTAAATTTAAGTTGATTACATATACTCTTGTTCTACATTAGGGTTGTTATAGGAGGGCATTAAAAATAATTATTTCTTGGGGCTGGCTGAGTGGCTCAGTTGGTTAAGAGCTCGCTCAGGAGTTTGAGCTCTGAGCAACAGCAGTTCAATTCCCGGCCTGAGCTGAACTGCCAACAGATGGCAGGATGGCTCAGCTAAAAAAAAAAAAATTTTTTTTCTCGCAAGTCTTACAACCACTCTGCTGTTCCCTGCCTTCCATCAGCAGCAGAACTGCAAAATCCAGTATGACTTAGGTTACATTTGGCTAGATGATTTCTGGGCATGAGCCTGTAGTCATGGTCAGACAGTGTAACTTTATTGTGATCTTAATTAACATCCCTCTTAAGGACTAGAAAAAGAAGAATAACATTTTTTATTATTATAGAGAATTTAAAACATACACAAGTAGACAGAATATTATAATGAACTCCCATCTTCAAAAATTTATGACCAATTTTATCTCCCCTATCTACTTTCTTTATTTTTTAAAATTAATTTTGGAGCAAATCTCAGAAATTTTATCATTTCTTCTATTAAGACTCCATTTATATTTCAAAAACATAAGACTGTCAGTTTTTGACTCCCCACAAAGATCACCACAGAAACCTGTTGATTAAACATGTCGCAAGGAACAACATCAACTTGACATACTTGGTAATGATTCAAAAAAGGGAATGTTAGAGTAAGGTGTTTTCAGGAATTCAGGATAAAAGTTCAGTAGGTTTAAGTTTAAGATGGGTCTTTCAAAGTGGGGGACTGATAGAGACTGAAAAAAGGTTGTGATTTGTTTAGGGTTAGTGAACACAGGGAGGCAACAGTCTTAATTTTAAAATGGCTAAACTTAGCAGTATTTTCCTATTTTTTGTCTCCTGTTTAAGATGACAATATAATATATATTACCTCCCAAGCCTTTATTATTTTATATTGTAGATATAGATATGGAATTTATGTTGAATATGATGTTGGCTAGTGACTAAGTTTCTTTTTTTTCTATATTTCTATCCCAGTGTTAATTATTGAAAAGATATGCTTTCTCCACTGCTCTTCAGTCAACTGTGTATTCTTAGTTCTGTTTCTGCATTCTCTATTATATTCCATTGGCCTACTTGTCATTCTATATCTTGTCTTAGCTATAATGCTTTAATTACCTCACTATCTAAATTACAATAATTTCATAAGTCTTAAAATCTAATAGATTATATCCTTTCACCTTGTTTTTCTTCAAGAGTGTCTTAGCTGTTTCTGACCATTTGCAGTTCCATATAAATTTTAGGATCAGGTTGTCAAGTTCCACAGAAAGATACTGTTAGGATGTTGATAGAAATTGCATTGTATTGTTAGATCAGTTTTAGAATTTGAGTTGTTTTTTATTAATTTTAATAATTTATTGATGTGTGTTCTTGCGATATGAATACTATTTTAGAGGCACTTTTTTTTTTAAAGATGTTTATTGGGGAATTGGGGAGATGGGAACAGCGCTGGGAAATTGGGGGAAGGGGAACAGACAAGTTGCTGTCGTTTTGTTCTTCAGTCTAGTTGTGGAGGACGTTGCTTCACTGGCCCAAGTTGGCAC